CAGCAGTGATGTCCTTGATAGGTACTGCTTCTGGCCATCGAGTGAAACGGTCTACGCAGGTTAAGAGGTAAGAGTATCCATTTGAATCTGGTAAAGGTCCTACCAAATCCAGATGAACATGGTCGAAACGAGCAACGGGAGTTTTAAACGAACCTAAGGGACATTTGTTGTGTCCGATAACCTTAGATTTTTGGCAACTTGCACAGGAGCGTGCCCACTCCCTCACGTCTTTATTCATGCCAGGCCAGCAAAACCGTTCTGCTATAAGCTTGATGGTTGCACGAACACCTGGATGAGAAAGTTTGTGCGACGAATTGAAGACTTTGCATCGATAATGTTTCGGCACGATTGGGCGATCCCTACCTGTGGATGTGTCACAAAGTAAGGTTTCCCTACCTGTTCCCATCTGTTTGATGCGTAGTTCAAGGGCTGTGGACGATAACTCGTGCCGAATATCAGTGTGTTCTTTTTGAAGCTGGGCGAGTTCTAGAAGATCGATTCCTTGGAAACTGTTCGAGGAAGTTGTAAGAGACAAGGCGTCTGCAACTACATTGTTTGTTCCAGAGATGTGTTGAATATCTGAAGTAAACTGCGAAATGTAGTCCAGTTTTCGAGACTCACGCGAAGAGTACTTGTCAGAAGGAGAGCTTAACGAGAAAGTGAGCGGTTTGTGGTCGGTGAAAAGAATGAATTCACGACCTTCGATATAGTGCTGGAAATGTCGTACAGCACAATACATAGCTAGGAGTTCCCTGCCGAATGTGCTGTACCTCGATTCGGTGTCTAGCAACCTTCTAGAGAAAAATGCCGAGGGTTGCCAGGAGTTGTTAACCCATTGTTGTAAGACTCCTCCGATTGCCGAGTCCGATGCGTCTACTGCGATACTAATGGGTGCTTCGGTGTCCTGATGTGCGAGCATTGTTGCTTTGGCGATCAGTTACTTAACTGTGGAGAATGCTTTTCGTGCGGTGTCGTCCAAATTAATCGATTTCGCGTTTCCACGAAGTTGGTCGGTAAGAGGTTTCATAAGTAATGCGCATTTATTTACAGGGCTATTTATTTTAGGGATTTATTTACCGCTACAATAATCTCTATTTTCTGATAAGCTTTTCTTCTTACAACTTTAGGTAGAAGCTTGCGCCGATGATGTCGTTCAGAATAACTATGAAAGATCCACGACCAAAGCAACCACCTCAAAGAAGAAAACTCCATCAAAATCAACCACCTAAGCTACAACCTCTGTCTTTCAATCTACCTTTCTTTTCCTCTTTTTCCCTGTTTAACAGTTCTAGTTCTAAATCAAAAGCTATTAAAGTTGAGAGATTTGATACTTTTTAGAAGAAAAGGGAAATCCAGGAGGGTGGGGATTAAAAGAATGATCAGATTATAAAACAAAGTGTCAAAGAGGATGGAAAGACGTAGGTTTCATTATGTAGCTGTGAAAAAGACTGTGGAACTACTAGTAAAGCATGACTATGTTCTAGCCAAATCATCTAGTAAACAGGTCACTGAAAATCAAACAGTTTTACGGTCCTCTTCAAGGTTACGTATAACCAATGAACATTAATCAATTGCGTCCTATAGGCAGTACCATGAGGCAGTGGTTTTTCCCCTTGCACCTTTGTAACTTGTTCATACCAGTATATGCTGCCTCTTATTTAGAGTATACAGCATAGTCAATTGCATTAGAAGTCGACTCACAAGTTTACGACAACAGGAAAAAGTAGATCAGGTATTGACCGCGGTGTGTGACTTCGACATAAAATAAGAGACCACAGTTGCTGTCCAACTGGAGTAGACCACACTAGTCAATACAGATCGCCTACTTTAGTGATCTACACAGGGCGAAGTGCGTTCACTTAAACCGGTCACAACAAATAATCCAATAACTGACGAAAAGCAATCTGAGTGATTTTGAATGGTCATTTGGCTATTTTATAGTTAAAGGCATGTTTCACTCTATCCAAGATTCTGGTAAAAACATAGAAAGGTGAATGATAAGAGTGAAACTAATTAATTAACGTATGATAAAAAAGATACTCCACGACTCTGTCGTAACACTTCTGGTCACATGAACGCAAGTTCATATTGACGTATGGATAAATTTCAGGTATCACTCCGAAAAAGATTCAGCGTAAGGAATAATCAGTTACTAATTATGAGCAAACAATCAGAAATAAAAAGTCCTGAAAATTTATTCTGTGCCCACTGTCTTCGTACAATTCATTGTCTGTGCATATCGTTTACAAAAACAAGTCATCTACTCATCCTGACCACTACATTCAATATATACCTTACCTCAATATAATAACTTCTTGCCTAGCCCTGAACGTTGAATCCAGGAGACAACACCAGCCTCCACTGTATGAATAATATGTTTCAGACATACGTGGCTTATATACAAGCAGACCAAACTTCATCACACCATATGAAGAAAAATAATAATCATATAAGATCAAGCCGAAAGTGACTGTGACTGTCTGTAACTTATAAACTAAGAATAAATTAAGAACAGCAAATCATATGAAGTTGGTTAATAATTCAAATGAAAACTTATGAATAAACGAATACAAATATATATGACCCAGTTACCCAATAATTATAATTATGTCGAATAACTTGATAATTTCGATGTTTGATTATATTTCCTTGAAAAAGCTTGAACCAGGTTGCCAGGAGGAACGTTGGTTTTACTTCAACAATTCGTTCACTCGGATTTTACAAATACGTTCTTGCTCTTTAATGTCTTTCTGAATTGTGTTCTAAAATCTTGGTGACCACTTGGGTTCAGCTTATTAGATGATAGTTCCGTAATTCTTATTTCATGCCTGTTTTACAAAAGGGTCTTGCTATGGCGTTCCCTCGGTATTATGGCAATTTACCTCGGGTTACACATAGAATAAGACTGGTTTTTAAAAAATTCACGACTAAATTTGACAGTTCTATTAGTAACCTACGAGGGACTTCGTTGAGTTCTATGAATTAATCGGAATCAAGTATATTTCACAATCAAAGGACATCGTGTCTTTTGATGGTCACAATGTTCAGGGATTTATATAAAGATAGAATGTCCCACCACATATATATTGCCAAGGTATTCAGAGATTACCTAAGGTTTGTTGTATTTGTTGGATGAAATTCTGAGTTTCCTCTTCATTCCTTTATTTGTGAGCGGATATATGCATTTTGGATATTTTAAAGACTCCTTAACAAATTCTTCTTCGTACGATCTTGTAGACTGGCTTAGAGCTGGGACATAAACATTCCAGATTTCCAAAATTTTCTCGTCAGCACCAAATTACCCCCATTGATTTTTAAAAAATATAATTGTGTGAACATCTTTGCTGAGCCATGGTAGGGAGTTTATTAGATTCGTTGATGTGGTCAAGGGGACGTGAGGTGCCTTAGCTATCGTGTAAAGACTCTTAAAGAACTCTCAAACTGTCGTTGTACAAGGATGTGATTTTATTTTTCCATCTATTGAGAATGCTGAGTGTATTGATTTTTGTGCGCTTACTTCCCAAAAGGTTTGGACTAGCTTGAGGTGAAACATCGTTATTGACAGCTATATGAAAATAAAAAATTGAAACCTTATTATCAGTCTTACCTAGGATTGGTATAAAATTGAAGTTTGTAATGTTATACTCATAATGAATTCATATTAGACCTAGCAAAAATGATTTGGAGTCCGGGCCGTACCTAGTTATTGCTTTCACATGTAGCCCTACGGCACGTGTGTTATCATCACGTCAACTAGTTTTTGTTCAAAATAATTTTCTCTTAGCTCAGTTCAAAGATTCTCCCAGTCTAATGCAGTCCTAGCAAAATCATCTAAACTTAAGCATCGGCTACTCAAAGATCAGACGTCGAGTCCATCTAGTGAGACTTGATTTACCTCGGTTTGGATTACTGTGAACCAAACCAATCAATAGCTCCCTTCTCTTACAATTTTAACGGCAGATAACCATTTCTTTCATCACACTCCCATAAGATATGCTATGGACGTGGTCCTGGATTCTTTCAGCCTTTATTATTTGAGGCTCTAGAAATCAAGTTTCCTATTATCTACACAATGGGTCGGCCAAATGTTTGTTATGGCTTGGTCAATTCCATCTGTATACTTAGCTCCGATCGCTTGTTCAACAAGTTCCAGTCATATATGTGACAGATCAAGAGACCGCTCAAATGGCTTCAACATCATCCTCTCTCGAAGTCTCACCTTCCAAAGACGATGCAAAGTTTCTTTACATCGACGGACAATCATGGTTTCAGTTCTTTTTCAACATCTCGCCTCTTCATAAAGTAAGCGAGAGACAAATCTTACTGGACAAAGACGCCTGACCCTTTCAGTTTGTGTCCATTTCGTGGTGTCAAGTCCCTCCCATCATGGAATTAAAATACCACCTTTTGCGGTGCGGTTCGACTTTTTTCAAGCACGTTTAACTACCTTGTCTGTACATCTTCAGCCAGGTTGCCCAAGAGAAATCATGAGGCACTATTTTGTCAAGTGATCCACTTATCAACCGATTGTTATTTTAACAACGTATGTTGTGTTCGGAACACTCACTCCCGTAGACCCTATGAAGGATGACTGACGTGTCAACATAATCACACTACGAATTTTCAACAACGGTTAATAAAATCGGCTTCGCATTTGTGATATTAGGTTGTTTCTTGCTTTTTATTTGAATTTATTTGTCATTTTCTCCGAAGCTACAGCCCACAAATACGTTGCATTTAGATTGAGATCCTGAAGCACTTCAAACGAATGGGGTATGCGATTCCAGAAGAAGACAAATACATAGATCTGTGAATAAACAGTCAAATAGAATGCACATATATTTATGAAAAAACAGTTGACAGCAATCAGGAACAATGCGTAAGATTAAAAAATATGGCGTGGAAAAACTAGAAGATTATAGCTAATGGTTAAGGAAACATAACACGACGAAAAATCCTAATATATTGTTCATTCAAAACTCGAGCTAATCAGTGAGTTCAGTTCGTTCACAAGCCGCGCTTTTTAAAAGGGTAGCAGTTGAGTTAAATTTTAGTTTTCATCGTTCATTGCTCATCAAGGCTACTGTCATTTCAATTGAATTAACTTCAGTCTAAGTGATACCAGTATTGCTTTTCCGAAAGCTGTTAGCATCTGTACTTTCTATTAAATACGACAGTTCTGTCTGTTGAACTATCTACACTTAACAGTCCACAACTTACTGTTTGCTTACCGCACACCTTTTTGAGTTTTTAGCTTTTGCATCTGCATGTCTTTTCCAAGTTATCTACAAACCTATGATTGATAACTGCTCAGTGTAGGAAGGGGTGTTTGTTAACGCATTGGTTATCGATAGCAGGTGGGTAGTGGAAAGCACTATGATGCATGGAAATCATAGTACCACGAAGTTTGAAGAAATATAACACTAGTGTGGTTGGTATGTCCTTTAGTGTAGATATACTGGTGGTTTTTGCTCAGGGGAATCGTATGTGATACCCACGAGTGCTTTGCTTTTATTTCTGTTACCGGAAAACTTGTCTGTTTCGTTTTTCAAGGCTAAAGCTGGTTCTGATATTAATCACAACGCACTTCAATAACTGAAACAAAGTAGGGTCAGTGTTTCATGAAGCGCTTCACACAGACTAAATTAAAACCAAATATTACATTCTAATAAAACACAAGATGACCTCAAAATACTAGCTATATATTTAAATCAGAGCATAAAGCGCATTTTGATGTGGTTCATATGAGCAATGCTTCTCGGTTCGGTATCCAAGTACACTGGTTTTTTTATACATTCAAGTGCAGTTTATTTCTGTTCTCTATCTAGACGATGTCGAATAAGTTATTATTTGGTAAAGCTCTCACCTCATACGACGATGAAGATATTGATGAATTGTTGTCTAAGCTAACACCAGAGGAGCTGGAGCAGCTTAATGATGACTTTGATCCCGACAATTCACTGCTTCCTCCTTCACAGAGGTGTCGTGACCAAACTACCAAAACCCCAACTGGACCTTATGATCGTGAAAAATTACTAAGGTAACTATTGTTCATGTTTTTTAAAAAATAATGGTTGATCCCAGTTAAAGTATAGGCTTTCATGCTAATAAACATGCACTTGTTTTTCGGACTCAAATGTTTATTTTACACGAGGTTTCTTCTAAGTTCGTTTGAGCGCTGCTGAATAGCGTTTCAGCTGTAGTAAAAAACTAGTCAGGAACTAAATTTCAAAATCGAAATTTATCTGATAGTGATTACCGACCCAAGCCGGTGTTTACAGCCCCGAATTTGTTGGGGAAGCATCAGTTCTTAGATATCGTTTTTAGCCCCCAGATGCCCTGGTACGGCCGAGGATGGGGAGTCCGCTCTCCCTCTCGACATGCTCTTATTTGGCCACACACTCGTCCACTGCCTTCTCCCGGCGGGGTTGTTGTTTACAAACTCGAGAGGACGAAGAGCGAATGTCCGGCGCTTTAACCGGGTTGGTGGATATGGTGACCACCTAGGAGAGTTGGAAAATCTAAACTCCAAACCAATGATACACATGGGTTCAAGGATCCTGACGGAACAGATGGTGTATGAACCTATTGTTGGTCACTAGCTTCAATGTGACTGCATCTTCTGAAGTTGCTCCATTGCGTTGTGGATTAGACCTTTAGGTCAAAGGCTTGGGGTGTGACCCCCTAAGAGAACCACCTGCCTCGGTCTGGGCACCTGGGAGGTATCACAGCCCTCATACAAATCAATAATTACTACTGGCCTCATTCTTTTTGTGTGGTGAATATGTATTAAGTGCCTCTTTGTAATAATGTTTATGTGTTCAAATAAATAAAATGGATGTCGTTTAGTGTCGACAGACCACACGATGTATAGATTTTACTAGTAATTTTGTTTTCAATTCTCATTTATTTTGTATTTCTCTCTCGACTGAAGAAGAATAAGGTTACAGCTGTTTGGCTGGATAGTGGCTAGCAGTGAAATCCAGGACGCGCGCTTCGTCCTATTTGAGACTCGTCGTTTAGATGTACCTGAATCTCAGTTTATTTTGACTCCTGGACTTTAATCCAGTACGTATGCCGATAAAGGGCTAATCAACCGCAGCCCTAAAAGTCAATTGGAAGATTCAAACAGCCGACACAAAAAGGGATTGAACTTCACCCCGTTGCACAAGCCAGTGGCTATCTGAACCCAGTAGCTAAGTAGATATCGCGATGGCGTTTGAAGCGAACGGTACTGGGTTCAAGTCTCGGAGTGGACATCCAGCTGAAGAGTCTCAAAGAGGACGAAACACGGAAATCTTGGATTATATTGCTAATCACTATCCATCTTTGCCTATAGTGCTGGATTAATTGTTCAATCCTTTAAATGTTACTTATTTCAAGTATTGTCATTGAATTAACAATTTAGTGGTTTTTCGATTTTGCGTTCCCATTCCAAACATGTGTAAAGTAATAGAGAAATAAAGCGAGTACAATGTTTCCCCGCATTTGAATGTCTTTTAAGATAGGATGAGCTATGGGAGTTATACTTCGCGACCGATTTTCAAAGTCATCCATATTCATGTCAAAAACCAAATACAGTAGATGTAAAATGTGATCGATAGACGAACTCACCAATAATAAAGAGAAACGCCCACCACCACATTAACTCCCTTTGACCTTGTACTACTGTATCTCTTTATTAACCAATCACAGTTTGATGTTCATTGCAAAACAATATTTGCTTGTTGACTCATTTTTCCTATTCTCTGGCTACTGTTCGGTATGTTATTTGTCTGTTTTTTCCCTATATTAATAGACCGTACAGTTTGTTTGTACACTAACGATGTTAATTTGTGTTTTAGAAACAGATAAAGTTTATCTAGCCAAATAGCTTGCTTGTTCTGACTTTGGCCAAACCAAGACTCTGTATTCGACGGTCTAGAGAATAGCTCAGAATTAAACCTGTAGGAAATTGCTCCATACAGTAGATATGATCAGACTTTTCGTTCTATATAAACATAAGTGTTGTTTTCTAAAATTTTTACAGTTTCCAAAATATTTTACTATTTTTCGGAACATAGATATCTCATTGAAAAAGCCAAAGCCGAAAGAGATTGGGAAGAAGCTGTGCCTTATGAAAAAAAGAAAAGGGGAAAAGCCTATACACCAAAACAAACTATTTCACCGAGCACGCAAAACGAATTAATTGAAATGGGTTTTGATGTAGAGTTTGATGATGATGTAAATAAGGTATGTACGCTGGTTACTTCGTGTTTTTAATTTAAAACACTATTTACAGTAATAATTTCAGTAAAATAGACACTCAATAAATAAACCTCACATACTTTTTTAGTAAAAAATATTAAGTGCTCAAGATTTGTTCAGTCGATTGGGGAGGTATTAAACTTGAGTGGGATTGGCTACCGCTTAAGCGGATTTGTTTATAACTCAGTACTTCTCTAAATAACTGACTGATAATACCCGTGTCCGCATCACAATGCTTTCCTGCTGGTAACATAGGCATATAATTTCATGTAACACATTCAGGGTTGTGTGAAGCATTAGTGCAACACAGCGGATCTCCATTTCAGAAATGGTGTTAGGTTTTCCACATCTATTTCTGTTGGTTTTTGACGTACAAAATTATGTATATTCGTTTTAGTCTGTTGTGTTGCGAAAACCTACACTAAAACTCAATAGTAATGTCTATAGTATTGGTAAGTAGGTAATCCTGTCAATTCTGTCGTTCTGTGTCCGGTTTGTTTTTTGTGAGACGTTATTTTGTAATTTTTGGAATTATATTTGTTCAGAAATTAAGATGGAAAACTGTGATGATTTCTTGAGCTGATAATTTTACATGCTCAAAGTATTAGCACTTTTTCGGGTAAAACTTTTATATTAGATTACGGTTATATATTATCTGTGATGAGCACCGGTTGACAAGTTCTGCTGACCACCCTACAAAATCTAACATTGTGTTTCGTAAACACGGAGTCATTCCTCGTACTCCGTTCAAATTTCAGAAGTTTGTTTGCCTTTTAAGAAGCTAGTTTTCTGGCAGGAAACAAAAGTTATCTAACAGTTAATTTAGACTTTCACGATCGGTAACTTTTAGCTAACAATATTTTAAATTATCTAGTGAATAACCACTTTGTTTCATATTTATAAGCTTTATTTTTATCTACACACCATTCACTCTGCAACTGTTGATCATAATTCCTTTCTTGTCTACATAAAATTAAAAAAGAATAACCGATGGGGTTTATACAGTTTCCTCTGACGACCACTTATTTTTACCACCATTTTTTATTGTCTTGATAAAGAAAATTTTAGCCGTATTGTGTTATGTAACATAACCTTTGTGAATTTATATATATTTTTGTTAAGGCTCTCGAAAATGCTACTGAAGATGAACTTGTTGATTTGGCTGCTGTCCTGGGTTTTACTGGGATGTTGAATCAAGTACAGTTCCACGCTAGTTTAGAAGGACGTAAATTGGAAATGGGTGGATTCTCTGGTGTGGCTAAAGCTGAACGTCCTAAAGTCGTGCCAGATGAGCCACCTAATATGACAGATGTAGAGGTTTGTCTCGTTTTTTCCTCTACTTGGTTAATCCTTTTTCTTTGTAGCTTAACATCATTTGAAAATTGAGGGACACTAAACACTTTTTCCTTCACTAAAGACTACTTACCATCGTTCTCTGTTCTGACCACGTTTTGTAATTTAGCCTTTCCTAATGAACCCTTCAGTTTTGTATGATGTTGGTTCAGTCACAAATGATTGACATTTTCTACCTTCAGATTGCTACTTATAAGTGTATGCTCAGGATGTCTAGTAATATCAAAGGCGGTGGGTTAGTGTCCAGTTACACATCCAAGCCTTTTTTTACAATAAATTTGTTGATTAACAAGGGAAGTGAATAGACCGTTTTTCAGTTCAACTCAATTTTTTGATCTCTATTTTTTGATCCTCTATTTAGTGGTCAGTAACCAGGACTTCATTTACTTTTATAACTTGCTCGTGTATCTACATTTTCAATACTTTAGAATTTAAACTAGTAGATACCAAAACATTTTCTATGGTGTTTTTCAATCAAATAGGTCCGATCTTGTAACCTACGGTGTATAATTGTTTATTTCTATTCTATGGTTCAATTTTACTCTCACCTAAAAATAAACTATTGTTTCAAAAAGACTACTTTATTCCTCCAAAATTTCACATGTCTTCATACTTGGATTCATCATTTATTACTTGCTCACTTTAAACTGCTTGTATTTTTCTTTCTATCTTTTATACGTTTCAGGATAGTATAAAGAAATTGGAAAATAACAGCGAAGAACTAACTAAATTAAATTTAAACAATATCAAAACAATAAGTGCTGAAGCAGTACAGCGCTTATGTGCCGCTCTTACAAAGAATAACCAGTTAACTGAACTGCATATGGCAGCAACACGTTTAACGAACGCAATGGTTGAACCGTTCTTTGATATGTTGCAAAAAAATACTGTATTAAAAGTATTAAATTTGGAGTCGAACTTTTTGACTGGTTAGTCGGAAACATTATTTACTGTGAACAAATATTAAAATTACAAGCGGAATTTGACATGCCTCAATTCATAAGAATAAATTCAGTCATTAGTAGACGTAAACATATTGCCATAACGTATCAAGAACTATAAGAGTGTAATATGTGCTAAAATACCGCAATGAAATAGCAGATTCGAAGCATCTTACATTCGATGAGGTTGGTATACATACATATTTTTGTATTGTGTTCTATGAGCTGAATAGTTCAGTTACGAAGCTTCCGTTGATGTTGTGCTGTTCATCGTTTAACGATCCAGCTTTTCCTAGGTCTGAGTGAGTCATTACTCTGTCCCGTGTTACTGGAATAATGATAAGGATTTTTCGAGGTTATATATATCCATTCGTTACTTTTTACAGTGTGTTATTAAAATTTTTTTTTCCGTAAAAGTGAGGTATTATGCATATATGTATTTATGTGCCTGGTCCTACGTTGCAGCTGACTGAGGTATTATGTCAACTTTAATTGAACCTTATTTTGATTCTGTAAAGTCTACTTTCTTATATATTTGTAAACATTTACATGTGACTTCCCTGTACATATACCTATGTAATACATATAAACGTACACATACAAGCACATGCTTGTTGTCTTATCATACAGTTCTTGTTTATGCAAGTGTCAATCGATATCAAAAATGTGTAACTTTCACTAGATTTTTGATTCCAGATGTGTTTATGTGTATATTGTACAGTATCCTATTAGGAACGATAAGCTTTTTCATATTGTTTTTCTCTGAGTGATAGTTTTCTCTCGGCCACAGGTTTACGTTTGGTGTCACAAATGTTGCTTCCTTTAGGACAGGATTCTAGACTTCAAAATACAGTTATTAGTGAACATAAACCAATTAGTTTTATGGCTCAACTATCCAGAATTGGTTTGTTCTTTTCAAACTTCACTCGATTTGCGAGTGTTTTCAGTGTCATAATGTATATCCTGCCACTAATGTGCATTGACTCTAATTACCGTGCCACAATGCGAAAGACTGGATGTTGAGAATATGGTTTGAAAATGCAGAATAATAAAGTATATGTAGTAGAGTTCTTTAACTTACGATCTAGAGTAAGATAAATAGTGAATGCATGTTTATTTATTTATTTAAACACATAAATATTGGTAAAAGGAGGTACCAAACAGATATGCACCACATAAATCATTCGGTTTGTGTGAGGGTTGGGATACTGCCTGGGTGCCCAAACCGAAGCAGTTGTGCGGAACCCAAGCAGTTAGTCCGTACCTACTAACGTAGCCAAGTCCTACAGTTGATGACGTGATGCACTGGTGCTACTTTTTTATCTGACCAGACTTGTATCTATACCAGTGAGAACATGTCGTGAAGATAGGTGGTGGTTGGACATACTTGACATATGTCCTAACCACCTCATTTCATGAAGATTCACAATTTTATCAACCAATTTGTCATCTTTACCTAGAATCCTATGCCTAACCCCAACAAAAATGTTCTAACAATCTGGTTGTCTTAAGCCAATCAACAACATGTTTCTCAGTAAGGTGACTTTTCGCTCATTGTTGTCATATCTTTTGTGTGGTGCGTTTTACTGATGACAAAAGCAAGAGCAGATAGTATATATGCGTATTCAAGTTTATTTTATCCGACATATTCCCGCGACCACGGTAGAAAGAACTGGACTCGAGGAGTTTGTTTGGCTATAGATTACCTAATGTTCATATAGAGTCAGTGGGTAGTTCAATATGAATGAAATTTAGTCAGTGAACAAAACGAACGATGATAATGTACTTAGGTAGTTTCCTTTTAAAAACAACTACTGTTTTACTTTTAATTCACCAAACTACTCATCTATCATGCTTTTTTTATATTTCAGGTGTTATTCTCGTTCGTTTATTGGAGTCAATTAGCCATGAAAAAAGTGGAATAACCGATTTGCATTTAGCTAATCAACGTCAATCTGTGCTCGGTGTAAAAATTGAACAAAATTTGACCGAATTAATACTAGCCAATCCACGTTTAGTTCGTCTGGGCTTAGATTTAGAGACTAGCGATGCACGTGTACGTACCAGGGAACATGTCAAATTTAATTTAGATCGTGTTTCTCGGCAACTACGGCGTAATAAAAATTAAATTTTTACGTGAATATGTAAGTACGTTTGAACATTGTACTGATTTTCACTTTAATTTGCCTTTAATTTACCTACTTATTTTTCCCATCTATTTTGCTTCTGTAAGCTACAGAATTAGCCTAGTATTATTAAGTTGGTTTACATGTGCACATTTATTTATGTATATCCTGTTATTATTTTCAGTTTGGTCTGTTTATGTTAGTCGATTTCACTGTTGTAATGTATCTGTTAACATAATTTCAACATGTATATCTGGCTTTGTTTGGTCATCGTTACTAATATATACTCATAATGAACACATCGCCACATTATGAGTCCAAAATAATAAAAATCATCTCAGTTCTTATAATTGTTTCCTGCATATTCATAATCGAAAAATAGCCATTTCAAGGTAGTCAAGAGTTACACTTCCATTTGATTTTGCTTCTAATATGTTTGTATCGTGAGTTGAAATTTCGAATGATACGATTGTCGTTGCTTAACATCTTCCTATATTTTATTTACTGTCTTCCATTTGGTTACATGCATTCTGTATTTAAATACAAGTAAATTAGTCAAATTTAATATGCAATTAATCAATTTTGTTTGTATTCACTTTTATTTGTAATTGTATTGGATAGTTGGATATCCGGTGACAACTGCTAAAAAGCACAAAATAACTGTTGGCTATTTCTCCAACTTCTCGGGGCTGTATACCTTTATATCTAAGTTGTTTTAGTGTCATGTTGCGACTGACAAAGCCGTTCTGTTTTATGTTTCAACGTTAGATGGACTCTGGGTTATATGAGATCGAATCCGACAGGGAGCATCAGTTCCCTCAAAATTACAGGTACATCTTGCTGATGGGTACCAAATAGCATTAAACCTTGGTTCGGGGTATATTTGCTAGATAAGGTAGTGTAGAGCCTTTATATATTTGCTTTCGTGCATGGATTATAATGTATTGACATCATGTTGTACCAGTATACAATGAGAAAGATATGGATGGTTAGTATCTGGTAAGATAACACCTGCCAGGAGTTTGCAAGATTTTAGTTGTCTATCCGCAACCATAAGTTGTACAATCGTGTATATATGAAAATTTTTTTTTGTAAAAGTACTAATTCCGTGAGGAAATGTGAACACAGTTAATAAAAAAAAGGGTTATAATACTAGATTACGTAATATGAATAATAACAATAACAATAGATTTAGTGAATATAATAAGATGATTAAAATGATTCAAATGTTATTGTCATAATAATTAAAGGTCATTGAGTTGTAAAAATAAATATGGTGATATGATGAATATTCACGAATAAAACAATGAGAATATAAGACATAAGTAAAGGGGAGAATGCAGTAATAATACTAATAATAATAATAATAATAATAATAATAATAATAATAATAATAATAATTGGGTAAGCAAAATGCTTAAGGCCAAGGTAACGATAACGATAAGACGTATTTCTTTTGTACGCATAGTTCTGGTTTAAGCTCCTGGATGGTAAGAGCTTCGGCTATTTTTAAAAGTTGGATGCGTAGAAATCTGGGTAGATTTGAACGAGTCATATAAACAACCTTAAATTCATTTTTTGGATCTGTGGAATGGTTACAGTCGATTAGGTGTTCAAGTATAGAACTCCTAACTGCTTTCCTTTCCCTCTTATAGAACCAAGCAGGAATATGTTCCCGTATCCGAGTTGAAGGCGAGCGCTGGCTACGGCCAATGTACCTTGCTCCACAAGAGCAGGTGAACTGATAGATGCACATGGAGGCGACCAGACGCGGAAGCTTGTCTTTTATGGACACAGAAATTAAGTTCCTACTCATGAAGGTTATTCGCAATTTAGCTGCATTAAATGTTCTTCTAATAGCTGTTGTTAGACGATTTTTGATTACTTCTGATGTTCGATCACCTTTAAATTCCAGACTTATATAAAGGTTTTTCTTCGTAATGGAGCAACTAGGTTTCTTGTCACAACTACTATTCATATTCTTTTCTATGAACCGTTCTGGGTAACCATTTTCCGTCAAAGTCTTCTTCAGGAATGCGAGTTCTTCGTTAATGCATTCCGTACTGCATATGTGATGTATGCGATGGCATAAAGAATGGATAAGGTTTCTCTTCCTACTTAACGGAACCCAGCTATAGAAGTTGGTTAGCTGGCCATTCCATGTTTGTCTTCTAAAGATGGATCTTTTTAAAGAACCATTACTCTTTCTCATCAGACGTACATTGAGAAAAGGAATTGATTGGTCTTGTTCCCTTCCTAACGTGAAGTCTATGGAAGGGTGGCACGAGTTAAAGGCGTGTAGAATATCATCTAAATCAATATTATTGTCACAAACAACAAACGTGTCGTCCATGTATCTCACGTATAGGTGGAATCGATTGATCATTGAACGGAGTTGGTCGTTTTCTACTTTTGCCATGAAACAGTCTGCTAAAATTGGACCCAATGGAGACCCCATTGCGATCCCATCCCTTTGTCTATATATTTCATTATTGAAACTGAACTGGACATTAAAAGTACAGCGTAACAATAATTCTTTCAAGTGTTCAGTTGGCAAACCTAGATCTATATTGTTAGAATCAATATACTCACATGTATAACATATTGTTTCGGTTAAAGGTACGCTAGTGAACAAAGAATTAACGTCGAGCGAGAACATGTGTTTTTCGGAAGTATTAACGTCCTTTATACGATCAATAAATTGTTATTATTCATATTACGTAATCTAGTATTATAACCTTTATATTAACTGTGTTCACATTTCCTCACGGAATTAGTACTTTTACAAAAACAAAATTTTCATATATATACAATTGTACAGCTTGATAATAAATTCGTTGAAAAGAGATCCCTTCGTTGAAATTCGTGTTTTAATTTTAATGTTTAAATGGGAATTATCTGTCAATATTATTAATGACCTGAGAAGGTCCACCACACCCTGTTAAATGCCTTCAGCACTCTGCACAATACAGCAATGTCTTCTTATAAGCTCGGGGAAAATAATGGATAACAATAAAGAATTAACAAGTCGCTAAAGTAAGTGCTGAATAAAGCCAATAGCATGTAACTTTTATGTGTAATAAGTCGATCAGGAAACTTTCTTCGATACGATAACATGGGAACACCAAGAAAGATCAGAGGGAAAGCTTAAACTAGAATAAATTACCTTTGAAATTATTAAAAGATCTCCAGTTGTACGAGTTTTGTGGGATTCTAACAGGGTGTTTGAATGCTGTTCACGACTCAAGATAAAGTTAATAGTTTAGAAAGATTAAGTGTGAAACCATTAGGAACAGACCATCGTTCACTAACAGACAATATCTCATTCATTTCAAGATGATACATACATACTTTGATATCGACTGCATATTTAGAAAGTGTTTTTTAAGGAAGATGGTAGATCATGGCGAAAATAAAGAGGAAAGAACAGCTCCTTATGGCACACCATGAGTCAGTAGAGACATTGAACACTTCCCTCTAAACGCTACTATTTTTTCCCAAAGAAGTTGGAACAGCTAGTTGGTTATCCAACTGTCGGTGTCGACGCTGATAAATCTGTAAATTGTTGTGTTTTAAGGGAGTCCAAGGCAGACATGTAGTCTAGAAATGCGCATCGAACGTACCCTTTTCCAAGTTGAACACTATTATGATACAGAACACTGACATTGTTAACCTGCGCCTCGACAGTACCTTCTGCAAGTGCCACCAACTAGTACGCGGGAAATAAAAACCAGGTGCACCCTACTTGATCCAATATCCTAAATTTCAGTTGTTTGACACCATTGCCAAGTTGGCGGGTTTAGTTTGGAGATGTTAACTAGCTAAATCGACGCAGTTGGATACGTTGCCCCCAACGTCCGAATCTAGTGTAGGAAGTGTGTTAGCGGCCGAGTAAGTCATGTGTCGATTGTGTTAAGTTTTTAAGGTTTGATAGACTGTATATTGTACCGCATAACATCGTCGGCTGTTGCAGATTTGAGTGCCAACACGAGGCAGCTACTACCGAAGTCTGATGGGCGTAAACATCTGTAGCGATTCGATTGTGGACTATCAAGTCAGCACTTTTTTTGTCATCTGGAGAGGTAATGGGAACGTTAGACGCTTGTTTCAGACAGAAGATAAGAGACAAATTCGTAGGTCAACAAAATAATGGGATGATTTGTTCGTATTTCAGATGGCCATGTTGACGCGGTTAATAGATGATAACCATAAAACATCTATGCGTTGTATTTTGTCATACGTCATGACACCTAAAGTTGTCAGCCATTTAATATTACTTGGCACTTCGTCTAAAAGTGCAGATTATACGGCGCATTAACTATTCGGTTCCTGTCCTCATCCGTCAACGAAAAAGACATTGGGAAACTGTGTGACCGCGTCGCAAATGTACTTTCACAACATGAGAGACAAAATACAAAAGTGTTATCGAATAAAACAAGAGCATGTGTGTATTAATTTGAAGTGACAATTATTCTCTACCGTTCTATAGGTACAATGTTCAGTGTTAACAAAGATGACCGTAAGTAAAACTTCACTTAGATAGTTGATTAAAATAGCAATAGCTGTTAGATATCGTTTTAATTTTGGTGTTCATTAAATTTGAAAATTCACAAGAAAATTACTCTGCTTCTCAATAGACCAACAGGCGTTACAAAAAGGCATTACTAGTTGGATATTTTTAATGTTCAACTTCGTTATCAATAAACGTTTTTTAAACATGCACATGCGAAACCCTTTGAGCTAAACACTCACTAGTGAGTGTTGAGAAAGCCTGTTTGATTTTAAATGCACTTGTAATTAAGTACTCGTGCCTAATTAATAACACATAACCTGGGATATGTCACTTACTCGGTCGCCTACGCACTGCCCACACGCCCAGACTCGGAAATTGAGGCAGACGCATCCAACTGTGTCGAAGTATTCTATTAACATTTTTGGAGAAAACACACCTACTTAACAAGTGGTGGGACAAAAGTGATCAAAAACCGTAATTTAGGGTATGGAACGTGGCTAGTTTCAGCCTACGTCAACGAAATTGTACAGAAACCCTTCTTTTTTGCATCTCTACGAAATATTATTAAGATTAGTGTACTAACCTCTTCGGTCCCCCTTCGTTTACTGACAAAGTGTTTTCGTCCGTAAAACTGCTGGCACACTAAGCAGCAAAGTTGTTGAACGAAACCGCCAAATCATTTTAATTAAGAAAGGGTAGTTCAGCGAAGAGTCCTCTTCGCTGAACTACCCTTTCTTAACTAATGTCTTAATGCGTGTATTCCGTTTATTTAGAGAATCCTTTTAAGTTTGGAAACGATCCACAGGAAATGATTTTTTCTATATTTTTAACCCGTTACAGTAGTGAATGACCTTAAACCTCAGGATTGACCCATTGTTATGTGACTGGGCATTGTCCTGTAGGTGCATATCCACAATATCTGTAGGACAGAAACAATGTTATTTGCCCACAATTCCTCGTTTAGCTGTAATTAGAGCCTGCTTCCTGCTTGGTGCGTCGATAAGTACAATGTGCTTAGTTCTCGGCAAAACATTACATAAAAGGTAAGGAAATCGTTTAAAGTAATAGCATAAGCAAGAATTAAAGAACTGTATCCACATGAACGTATATAGCAATGAAACAATCACTACACAGTTAACGGTTATCCATTTACAGTCAATATCCTTAATAGAAACCCATACGTACTCATGACTGACTACTGAACGCATAAATATTTCGATGTCACTAGAAGGAATGGTTCATCGAAATAATCATATGGGTCTGTGGATGGTCTAAAATTCATTAATCCGTTTTCCCCTACATCATTTAAAAGGCCGAACCTTCACTGTACGATTATTAAAATATCCGGCTTAAATGAAGTTATTTATTTTGGTGTTCTAAAGCTTCATGGGTACGAACGTCACCAAGAAGAGGCTCAACAAAGGCACATTATAAACTAAGTTTTTAGGTCCATAGCATCGTTCATATTCCTTAGTAAAATTGGGCAAATCCTTTTTGACCGAATCTGTTGCTCCGCTTTATGGTCTGGAATGTGCCAAAAAGCACGTCGCTAATGCTAAACTCTTGAAATTTGAGCACGGCGGTTGAAGTAAACAATTTTTAATAATTACGGGGTCTAAATACAGAAGGGACAATCGACAGTCTGTCCTTTTCCATACTCAGACGAAGTCTAATGTCCGACATTTACACTTAAAGTCTGAAGGAGTAATTGCGACACAACTTGACGTTTTCTTATTTATATCCATAGTCACAAATTTGTTCATGTTTCTAAATATTTTAAGAGAAAAATCTACCCATAGATTGGTTAGTTTCTTTGTCGCACCTAATTACACCATGTTAATTGGACCATCCGTTAGCAACGTATATCCACCGTTTGGAGCGTCATTTT